CAGTGGATTATTTGAGGGAGATAATGTGGCATTGTGGTTACACGTGAACTACTTCAAAATTGGTTGGAATGCTTATTAAAAATTCTGTTTTTAGGTGGCCTACAGTTGGAATCTGAGATTGAATAAATTTTCTAATAAACAGTTATAGATGGTGTTTCCATTGTTGTTTCATTTATCTTATAGGCTTAATAGGCATTGGTGGGCCATCAATTTAGAAAATGTGCTGTGGGAAAATGAGATTCTAAGGTCAAAACCAGGTACAGTACTGAAGACTTTTGGAACATGGCCTGTTTTTGAGCAGAGCACTGCCAACAATCTATTTCTCCTACTTTGCTTTTGGATACCTAGAAAGGAAAAATGAATTCTTCGCTTTTCAAATTACTAAGCGATATGGAATTAATTCATCAGAGGAAGATATTCTTTCTATTCAGAGAGGATAGAGGCTGATTATTCCAGATAATTGTGGAATTTCCACTCATTTACTTGTTTGGGTTTCTTTACCCTTACCTTCAGAACAAATCAAGAAGTTATGTTTGGGGGCTCTAATGGAAGACATTGTTGACTATATTTGCTTTTGTCAAGAATGAGTCATGAGGGATGCGTGGGTGGCTCAGCCATAGAGTGTCTGCCCTTGGCTCAGAGCGTGATCCCAGGGTCCGGGATTGAGGGGCTTCTTGTGGGGAGCCTGCTTCTCCTTTTGCCTGTGTTTCTGCCTCTGTGTGTTTCTCATGAATACATAAATAATACCTTAAAAAAAAAAAAAAAGTCTTGAACTCTTGTGATCTAATGTGTCTTTTAAAAAAATTGTGCATGTGTTGTTCAAAAATTACTTTTGTATATTTTTGAGCTTTAAATAAAAGCTACCATTGTGTGCTAAAAAAACCAAAAGCCAACAAAGACAAGTCAAAAGATCTGCCTTTTTAAAATGAGTTTGTGTGCAATTCATGACATTATTAATTTCTTTTTTTTTTTAATTTTTTTTTTAAAATTCATTTATGATAGTCACAGAGAGAGAGAGAGAGAGAGAGGCAGAGACACAGGCAGAGGGAGAAGCAGGCTCCATGCACCGGGAGCCCGACGTGGGATTCGATCCCTGGTCTCCAGGATCACGCCCTGGGCCAAAGGCAGGCACCAAACCGCTGCGCCACCCAGGGAACCCGACATTATTAATTTCTATGTTAAGGTCAAAACAAAAGCCAGAATTTGACTCTAGAATGTTTAGCTGATACTGTACGTAGTTTGAATATAATTTTCGGTAGAACAAAATTTTCTAAAAAATGAACTCCGCCTGAACTGACATAAGTGATTTTAATTTAACATAAACAGTTTTGTGGGGTGAGGATAGAAATCAAACTAGTTTTGCCATACCAAAATCTTTCTCTTGGCACATTGAAAATGTAAACAAGTTTCCTTTTGAAGTACAGTTGTTTGATAGAACAGTTATATTATTTTTCCTGGTGCTATTTAGTTGAAACCCCAGGACCTAAATTTATCTTAGTTTGATTAAAACTTTGTTTCTATGGAAGAAAAGTTATCAAATTGAAAAGGGGGGGCTTCAGAAATTTTGATTCCAAGAATGCTTTTAAGGAGGGAAAGGCAAGTCAAATTGGATATGGGCCCCACAGAATTGTCTGTGTTACTTCCTGGGTCAGGAAAGCTCAGAGAGGGGGTGGGGGGCTGTGTTGCAGCAGGGCAGGGCGTAAACCTGATAGGAACTAGAAGTGAAACTGGAAGTGCCTTAAAAAAAAAATGAAAAAAAAAAAGATTGTTGCATTAGCCTGAGTCAGGCTAGATTGAGCAGTGAGACTAATTCTCAAGCACAAGTGTGTATGTAGTACCCCTGGTAGATTTCCTGATTGAATCAACATGTTCACTCACAGTTGACTTAGGCCTTAGACTCAATGGAGGAAAACGAGAGAAGAGCAAAGGGAGAGGCTGAGGCAGAGGACTTAAGGTGCAGGTTTTGAAAGAAAATTTCTTAAAAAAGGAGAGATTTCTGAGCCTTTGAGAGAGACAGCAGGAAGTTAAAGGTGGAATTCTGGGGACATTTTACCCTCCCCACAAGCTATATGGAAGTGAAGGATGAGTAGTAGACTTACAGATAATTGGTAAAGGTATCCATGTTAAAGCAGAAAAAATACATCACTGTGGTTTGTTTTAAAACAATAGATTCCCGCTACAACGTTAACAATAACAAAGGTTAACCAGTCTTAACGAAATTATGCCTAGGGTTAAAATTGAAATTCACTTCTTTTATTTTATTTTATTTTTTTATTTTTTTTATTTTTTAATTTTTATTTATTTATGATAGTCACAGATTGAGAGAGAGAGGCAGAGACACAGGCAGAGGGAGAAGCAGGCTCCATGCACCGGGAGCCCGATGTGGGATTCGATCCCGGGTCTCCAGGATCGTGCCCTGGGCCAAAGGCAGTCGCCAAACCGCTGCACCACCCAGGGATCCCGAAATTCACTTCTTTTAAAAGAAAGATGAGAACTTAACCATATAACATTGACACTTAAGAGCATTACATTTCCGGGATGGTTTAATGGTAGTTATGTGCTGTCATGCACAAAAGACGACAGTGCTAACATGTTCTGCCTAACTAGGGCATACACTGCTAATGTTTTCCCTATAGCAGTGATAGTTTCAAATTCAAAGAGATTAGAAATCTTTGCTCTTTCTGCTGGCCTCCCCCCTTCCCATCCCCAGAACCATTCATAGATGCTCTGTGTTTGGATGGGTGTGGGTAATATGGATTGGGAGTGGGTTTATGGCTCTATGAGGTAACCAGTACCTCTCATACTATATTTATGCATCATCACCTGGGAATCTTGTTAAAATGCAGATTTATATAGCAAGGGCACAGATGATGGTGGAGTAGTGTGGAGTAGTTGGAGTAGCCAGGAGGTGGAGTAGTGGCACTCAAATTTTAGCCTGCATAATAAGGCATCTGAAAGGCTGGTTAAAAGGAAGACTATTCGGCCCCCAACTTCCAAGCTTTTGATTCACTTCCCTAGGGTGGGGCCTTATGTTTTGCATTTTAAACAAATTCCTAGGTAATGCTAATACAGCTAGGGGGAGTATGTTGTGAGATCCCCTGAGGTGGAATGTAAATAATATCGAGGAGAATCAAACCATCTGTCTTGGTTTCTTGAGCATTATTTTGTAATTGAAAACGGTGAAGCAAAGTTTGCTGAAAGTAATAATTAATACTGTTCATGATTAAATAGGTGATGAGAATTAAGGAGTGCATTTGTGATGATTACCACCAGGTATTGCATGATTGTATGTTGAACCTCTGTACTGTATACCTGAAACAAATACTATGCATATGTTAACTAACTGGAATTTAAATAAAAACTTAAAAGAATACTGTCCATGTTAGGCAAGTGACACCTGATTAAAGAATTCTGTGAGTTTTATTTTGGTGAGTATGTCCCATCTAGAAAACATCCACAGGGACGCCTGGGTGGCTCAGTGGTTGAGCGTCTGCCTTCTGCTCAGGGCGTGATCTTGGAGTCTAGGGATCCAGTCTCACATTGGGCTCTCTGCATGGAGCCTGCTTCTCCCTCTGCCTGTGTCTCTCATGAATAAATAAATAAAATCTTAAAAAAAAGATCTAACATCCACAATAGACAACAAATGGATGGTAATAAGGACGATTACTAATGAAGAAGGATCTAGGATTATGGAGGGTGGGATTTTAGCTTTCTTTGTAAGGTTTTTTTACTTGAAGAGCTTGTACTTCTTTTTATGTAATTAATTTTATAAAAAGGGATAAGAGAACTGTGCCAGATAGCCTCCCATTTACTTCTCCAGATCTGTCCTCCACCCTGTACCACCTGGCTCTCTGCCCCAGAGAAAGAGCTCCCAAATCCTCTGGCTTCTTATTGGGTTCAGCTTTAGGAGATTGAAGGGAAGGAGAGTGAAGTCAGAATATTTATCCCTTCTTCTCTCGTGGTAGCCTGCATTTTATTACCTGGGTTTTGGGAATCTGTCTCTTGTCTTTCTGGGGGGCCAGAGCAATAACTGTTCTGCTAGTGCTAGTCCTGTTTCCTTCCTGTTCCAGGCTCTGTGATACCCGTAGGCCTCACATAATTTAGTAATTATTCCTTTTACAAATAGACCCTTTTCAGTTTATTTTTTTTTTAAGATTTTTATTTATTCATGAGAGACATAGGCAGAGAGAGAAGCAGACTCCATGCAGGAAGCCCAATGTGGGACTCAATCCCAGGACTCCAGGATCATGCCCTGAGCTGAAGGCAGATGCTCAACTGCTGAGCCACCCAGGCGTCCCTTTTTCAGTTTATTCTAATTTGAGTTTGTCATCTCTTCATTGCTGGAACCCTGACTGAAGGAACTTCTAGTCCTATTCCTCTCTCTAATGTGTTTTCCTGTTTACTTAAAACCCACCCCACCCCATCCTCCCTCTACTATAATCCCAGAAGTAGTGAGTACTATTTTGGTGGGTGTAACCTTCCAGACATTTTCTAAATATAGTGTGGCTTTTAAAAAAAATGTATTTATTAGAGACACAGAGAGAGAGGCAGAGACACAGAGGGAGAAGCAGGTTCCATGCCGGGAGCCCGACGCGGGACTCGATCCCGGGACTCCAGGATCGCACCCTGGGCCGAAGGCGGAGCTAAACCGCTGAACCACCGGGGCTGACCTATAGTGTGGCTTTATTTTATTTTATTTTTTTTAAATTTTATTTATTTATTTTTATTTTTTTAAAATTTTTAAAATTTATTTATTTATGATAGTCACAGAGAGAGAGAGAGAGAGGCAGAGACACAGGCAGAGGGAGAAGCAGGCTCCCTGCACTGGGAGCCCGATATGGGATTCGATCCCGGGTCTCCAGGATCGCGCCCTGAGCCAAAGGCAGGCGCCAAACCGCTGCGCCACCCAGGGATCCCCACATAGCACAATTTAAACAGTTCCTTAGTCCTCTCTCCTTTTCACCGCCATCCTAGTTGTGTGTGGTTGACTGTTCCATGCCATGTCTTCTCACAAGACTTTCAGAATCAGGCGATTCCTGGCCAAGAAGCAAAAGCAGAATTGTCGCATTCCCCAGTGGATTCGGATGAAAACAGGTAATAAAATCAGGTACAACTCCAAGAGGAGGCACTGGAGAAGGACCAAGCTGGGTTTATGAGGAAGCATCACATCATGAAATAACAAACGTATTGGCACACATATTTAAGCTGCATGGAGATCCCATGTTCCTATCCTATCAATATGGAAGCATCCTTCCTACCTGGTCAATTGATATGTCTTATCAAGGAAATGATTCTCTCTTACTATGCCTCTATACCAGTAGGTTGGTTCAGTAATAAATGTGAGACCTTTCAGCTGAGCTGCTGTTCTGTTCTGATTTGTGAAGTACTGAATTCCTCCTCCTGTCAGATCTCACTGAGAGCACTGTTAGAACTTTCTGCAGTGATAGAAATGGCCTTTGACAAGTATTTAAAGTGTGGCTAGGGGACATCTGTGTGGCTCTGTCTGCTAAGCGTCTGCCTTTGGGCCCAGGTCTTGACGGGGAGTCTGCATGTCTCCCCCTCTCTTTCTCTCCCCCTGCTCATGTGTTCTCTTTCAAATAAATACAATCTTTTTTTTTTTTTCAATATAACAGTTCCTTAGATATTTAACATGATAGTTTTAATTATATACTACAGAATTTTTATAATACTTGATCTGTTTCTGCATTCTGTTCTATTGATCTGTCGCTATTCTGGCGCCAATATTATACATTTTACTTATAGTTTATTTAATTTTTAAAAAAGATTTATTTATGATAGACACACACACACACACACACACACACAGAGACAGAGAGGCAGAGACACAGGAGGAGAGAGAGGCAGGCTCCATGCGGGGACCCTGACGCGGGACTCGATCCTGGGACTCTAGGATCGCGCCCTGGGCCAAAGGCAGGCGCCAAACCGCTGAGCCACCCAGGGATCCCCTCATTTTACTTATTATAGTTTTATACAGCTAAATTCTTAGTAGGGCAAATACTCATCGTTTTTATTTTGGAGAAGACATTTTTTGGCTTTCATCAAATAACTTTTTTACACATATGTTTTTCCAGATACAGTTTTTAAAAGTGTGTCAGAATTCCCTCATCCCATTGATAGCCTGATTGGAAACACATTTGTGAAGTTTTGTAGTTTAATTCACATGTGTCAATGTACTTCACATTCTTTTTGCTTTTGACAGTGGGGCGTTTTCATCATACTTCTTGAGTTTTGCTGATGTTAGAAAAAGATGTTGATTTTTGTATATTTATTAAAAACCCTTCCTATTTATTTCCTAACCTGTTTTGTTGTTTTAGTAATTTTTCACAGGTTTTCTTTGGGTATTCCAATTAGACAACTTAATTATGGGTAAAGATTGCTAATTTAGACTACTTTTCAGTATTTACCTCTTTTTTTTTTCTTATTTAATTGGCTAGGCTATAACTGAGAAAAATGTCTTCTACTTGACTTTAATGTGGCTACCTCAGGTGTATTTCACTGTTCATTGTTGGGCTGACTGTGGGTCTGAGACCGAAGAAGTTAAAGGAGTATTTTTATTTAATTTAAGTGTTTTTCTCAGAAAGGATAAATTTGTCAGATGCTTTTCAACTCAGTTATCTACCCTTGGAGATTGTTTCTTCCAATCTATTTATGTGCTGAATTATATTAAAAATTTTTTTTAAAGATTTTATTTATTCATGAGAGACACAGAAAGAGATAGGCAGAGACATAGGCAGAGGGAGAAGCAGGCTCCATGAAGGGACCCCAATGTGGGACTCAGGGACCCCAGGATCATGCCCTGAGGTGAAGACAGACACTCAACAGCCGAGCCACCCAGGTGTCCCATAGCAGTAACCATTTCTATTTTGTTTTTTAGTTTGTTCCATTTAGTTTTCTTATTTTTAATGTGTATGGGGCAAGGTGGGGGCAAATAACTCAATTTTGGTGAATTAGATATTTTTTGTAGAAGATTAAATTCCTTTTCCAGTGTTAAAAAAAAAGCATGAGTGAGTTCATTATGTTCTCTACTTTTAAAAATTTCCTCTGTAATTATGATTTTGTCAGTTTTCTTAATCTGTATTTTGCTTTTTGATTAGATTAAAATCTGTCTTTGCCTATTTACTCGTCTGTAAAAAGGCTAATTAATATATGAAAATAGGCTAATTAATATATGTGCCTTACCACATAGTAAGCAATCAAATGATGGTCATTATATTTCTTTTTTAAATTTTTATTTGTTTATTTTTAGGGAGGGGGAGAGGGAGAAACAGAAACAGAAGCACAGAGCGGGACTCAGGGCTAGATCTCAGGACCCTGTAATCATCACCTGAACCGAAATCAAGAGTGGGACACAACCACCTGAGCCACCCAGGCGCCCCAATAGTTGTTACAAAAAATGATTATATTTTATTACTTTTGTGTTTTATTGTTTCTATTATTTTGGTATACTGATTTAGGAATTTCTTTTATTTTTATTTTTGTTTTTAAAATTTTGTTTATTCATGAGAGACACACAGAGGCAGAGAAATTGGCAGAGGGAGAAGCAGGTTCCCCACGGGGAGCCCAATGTGGGACTGGATTCCGAGATCATGACCTGAGCCAAAAACAGCCGCTCAACTGCGAACCACCCGGGTGCCTCCTGGAGGAATTTCTTTTTCTTTCTTCTTTCTTTCTTTCTTTCTTTCTTTCTTTCTTTCTTTCTTTCTTTCTTTCTTTCTTTCTTTCTATCTATCTATCTATGAATTATTTATTTATTTATGACAGACATATATATAGAGAGAGAGGCAGAGACACAGGAGGAGGGAGAAGCAGGCTCCATGCTGGGAGCCTGATGTGGGACTGGATCCCGGGACTCCAGAATCGCGCCCTGGGCCAAAGGCAGGCGCTAAACCGCTGAGCCACCCAGGGATTCCCAGGAATTTCTTTTTAAAAAGATTTTATTTATTTGAGAGCACACATGCACCAGAGTGGTGGGGAGAGGTGGAGGGAGAGGGAGGGGTGAGGGGGTGGTGAGTACACTCCCCACTGGGTGGGAAGCTGGGTTAGGGACTTGATCTCAGGACCCCGAGATAATGACCAGAGCCAAAGGCTTATGCTTAACTGACTGGACCACCCAGGCACCCCTGATTCAGGAATTTCTATTCTCATCTTTATTAAAATCTTTCTGTGTACCTTAAGAGTTTTATAAAAAAATGTATACATTTATCGTCTTTTTTTTTTTTTTTTTTAAAGATTTTATTCATTTGGGACACCCAGAGAGAGAGGGGCAGGCCCCATGCAGGGAGCCCAATGGGGGACTCGATCCCAGGTCTCCAGGATCACACCCTGGGCTGAAGGCGGCGCTAAACTGCTGAGCCACCCGGGCTGCCCACATTTATAGTCTTCTGATTATAAGAAAGCACATGGGGGATCCCTGGGTGGCGCAGCGGTTTGGCGCCTGCCTTTGGCCCAGGGCGCGATCCTGGAGACCTGGGATCAAATCCCACATCGGGCTCCCGGTGCATGGAGCCTGCTTCTCCCTCTGCCTATGTCTCTGCCTCTCTCTCTCTCTCTCTCTCTCTCTCTCTCTCTCTCTCTCTCTCTGTGTGTGTGACTATCATAAATAAAAAAAAAATAAAAACAAAAAAAGAAGAAAGCAAATGGCAAAAAATTCAAACATTACAGAAATATGTATCAGAGAAAATAAAAGTATTCAAATTCTTGAGAGATTAGGGAGAACATGTATATATACTTGTGTGTTTTTGTTTTTATTATGCATATACATATATATGTATGTCTAATGTTATAAAAAGTAGGACCATAGTGTATATATATATTATTTTGTGACTTGCTTTTTGTCAACTTTATATCTTGGATCTTTTTCCAAGTTAGAATTTATCGATCTAGTTTTTTCTCTTTTAAAACCTGTATTTGACAAACAGTAGACATTTAGCAACATTCACATCTTCTGAGTTTGCAGTTCAGTGAATCATCATAAGGTGAACACACTTGTGTAACCAATAGTTAGGTCAAGAAATAAAATATGACAGATACCCCACAAGCTTCCCTTGTGCCTTCCTATCTCATTCTTTTTTTTTTTTAATATTTTATTTATTCAAGAGAGACATGGAATGAGAGAGAGAGAGAGGCAGAGACACAGGCAGAGGGAGAAGCAGGCTCCATGCAGGGAGTCTGACGTGGGACTCGATCCTGTGGGACTCCATCCCAGGTCTCGCCCTGGATCATGCCCTGGGCTGAAGGCGGCGCTAAACTGCTGAGCCGCCTGGGCTGCCCTATCTCATTCTTTTTTTTTTTTTTTTAAAGATTTATTTATTCATTTATTTATGATAGACACACACAGAGAGAGAGGCAGAGACACAAGAGGAGGGAGAAGCAGGCTCCATGCTGGGAGCCTGACGTGGGACTCCAGAATCGCGCCCTGGGCCAAAGGCAGGCGCTAAACCGCTAAGCCACCCAGGGATCCCTCATTCTTTTTAAAAATTTAACAAATATTGAGATATAACTCATGTATCTTACAGTTCACCCACGTGAAGTATAAAATTCTGTGCCTTTGGTATTTTGGTATATTCACAATTCTGAAACTATCATCACTAATTCTAACATCTTTTCATCACCCTAGAAAGAAACTCTGTACTCATTGGTAGTCACTCCATTTCCTCCTATGCCAGTGGTAGGTAACAACTAATATATTTTCTGTCTCTATAGATTTTTCCATTTTGGACCTTTTATGTAAGTGGACTCATACAACATATGGTCTTTAATGACTGGCTTCTTTCTCATAGCATAATGTTTCCAGGGTCATCCATGTTGTAATGTATATCACGGTTTCCTTTTTATGGCCAAATAATCATTATATGAGTATACTACATTTTATTTATCCATTAATTAATGGGCACTTAGATTGTACCACTTTTGGACTACTATGAATAATGTTGATATGAACATTTGTATACTAGGTTTTGTGTGGACATATGTTTACATTTGTCTTAGACACACACACACACACCCAAGAGTAGAATTACTGGGTCCAGTTGTAACTCTGTTTAACCTTTTGAGGAATTGCCAAACTTTTCCAAGTTGGTCATACCAGTTCATATTTCATTTCCATCAGCAATGTATGAGAGTCCTAAATTCTTCG